AGGATGGAGAAGATTAACACGGATTACAAACGACGAATTTGAAAAATTGAGGCTAAACTTTTCAATATGCGCAAACCGTGACTGAGCTCCTTTAAGATGATAATATTCAATCAAAAGGTATATAGTGACATTGACAAGAACAGTTATTTCTGGTTGTCAAGCAACAATTGTCCTTAACAAATAGCGAGGTCGCTGCGTTAAGCCCCGACCAAACGATCGCAACATTTCAACGCAATATCGTTTGGCCAGCCTGTTGCGACGTGTTGCGACATGCTGTGTGTTGTCGGTTCAAGTTTGAAAGTGGCCAAATTTGAGTCCACAGCACCCAATTGTCACAATACGTCGCAACAGGCTGGCCAAACGCGCGCAACATGTAGTATGTTGCTTCCAACAATATTTCGATATGTTGCTTTGAAATGTTGCGATCGTTTGGTCCTTGCTTTACAATTCACAGAACGACCATGAATGAAACAAAGCCAAGGAATGATATAAGACAAACCTAATCACCTTCTTAGTCCAACGTTTAAGGCTTGCATATCCTGATTTGACGAGTTTGGGATAAAAGAATGAATTGAAAGCATGGACTTTTACTTTCCCTTCCTGGTTACTCCTTTCCACGAGAAGGTTAAAGAAGAAGTTGATTATCTGCGCAACAGAAGAGAAAATCAAGCAACAAAGTAATTCATCACCTGGTGCTATTTACAAAAAGCCAAAACCACGATTTTCTTCCAGGGCTGGGGACTGATATTTTAACACCCTGGCTAACGGGCTACTGTTATGTTAGATTTTGCCAGCCATAACAATTTTTACCTAGCCAGATTTGCTACTAGTCAGCCAATAGTTTATCATGAACCTATATTCCCGATATAAATCCACATTTTTTACTTACAGATCCACTCTTTGAAACCCTGGAAAGTTCATTTATAATAAACATAGATATATCAGAGTTAAGTTAAACTAACTTACAGAACAGACAGTTAAGCAGAATAGAGTGCGGAGCCCAATACGCGAGCGCTAAGCGTGAGGGCGAGCAGGGAGTTTGAGGAAGAGGTGTCTCGCTCCGCGCTTGCTGTCCCGGCACTTTGCGTCTTTGCATCGCGGTTCGCGCTCCACCCCACTGTACCACTTGTTCCGAAGGCTACTATAAAGCCTTGTTTTCTTTTCATCTTCCTGGGCCTTCGTCAGGACTAGCGTTCAGTTAGTTGGGGCACAGCGCGAAAAAAATGGCGGAGCGAAATAAAGGAGAGAGAGACTTAGTGCGAGGAGCGACAATATTTTTTCGTGCGCCATTTTTCGCGCTGTGCCCCAACTAACTGAACGCCTGGAGGAGACTTGGGAATATCATGAGCATCATTTCGAAAACTCTGAAGCAAAATAGTACTAGTGAACTGAAGCGATCAATTCATGAGTTAAGCATCTATACGGAGCACTGAAAGTCTCATTAAATAATTATAATTTGTACTCCCTTCTACAATTCACTGTTAATGTCTCAATGCTCTTGTGTGAGCGAAGATACTTGGTGATTAAATTAGAAACGTCGGTTTTGACCAAAAAAAGAAAAAATCAAAATCGCTATGCCCCTTATAGCGCCCCTTTAAATCACATAGCACCAGAACACACTGCATGTACCTCATCATTGAGCCAGTTCAGGTTACTAAGAGTTGCCAAGTCACTTCGTTTCAGAGTCACGCGGAAGCCTTCAACAAGAGGATCTTCAGAGTACCCTGGAGCCAAGGCAGAATCCACCTGAAGGAAAAGCAACCCATAGCAAAAGATCAGATGACTGACGCGATCTGTCTGTTAATTTGATTAACATGCCAACAAGATCACCGAATTTCTTTACTTTATTTGGTTGGCACATGCGAATAAATAGATCGGGTTTTAGTTAAATCCTCATGGACACATTCAAAAACTTATCCCCCTTTTTAAGCAAAAAGATAAAAAATAAATAATAACAATTTACCAATCAAAACCCGCGAGCACATCACGTTATCATGACCTCCCGTTGCTTAACATAAAATCATTTTATCTCCTGAAGACCGCAACCAGAGTCTGCAGGGTTCACTGTGACTCACCATTCTCTCCATTTCATTTGTGAGTGGTACAAACGAATCTGTACCTTCTTCGACTTCTTCCTCTCCCTGGAAGAGCAAGATCACACTCTAATGAAGACATACACATAATATACTTCTACCTGGACGCACACTTAGCTATGATAACGGAGCGTCCCATAGACTAGATAAGCAGAGTCTATACAACGTAGCAGCTAGTTAACAGGTGCGCCAAGAAAACAAAATAACAAGTAAAGAACGTACATTTGGGAATAAATATTACACTAAATGAACTAAGATTATATAACTGCTATAAAATATCTAAAAATGTACCGTTGAAAGGAATGTGACAATTACTTCAAGTTATTTGAGTCCATTTTGTTACATACAAACTAACCTTAAGATCGTCAGGAACCGTTACTGCAAGTTCGAAACAACAGAGAAACACCGCCCTCATTTTGATATTGTATTCAGCACTAGACAAGAACGATTTTTTCTTTGTCCTTCACTGGTTTAGTACACGGCAAAAGATAACTAAAGCAATTTTTTCGCAGGATAGTCAATACCTCTGTTTCCTCCTCTTCGTCAAATCCTTGTTTCACTCTCCTTAATCTATGTTGGATCTTAATTCCAAAAAAACAACAACAACAATTATAATGAATAATGAATAAAACAGTTGTCTACAGTAAAACCTAACACAAAGTTGCCATTACCATTTGTCCTTTATCCAGGCACATCTCTCTTTTTGCAACACTCACCCCTTACCTTGTGAGATTTACTGAACCGACAGTTTTGGAAAACATCACGAACAAGTAATTACTAGGAGAAAAGCCGGTGCATTCGGTACTACGATCTTTTGCAGTAGGTATCTGGAAGACATTTCAAACCCCACACGGTAAAAGGAATTAGAGGGAAGTGTATTTAACTACCTACACAGCAAAATTAATATTACGCTGGTTGAACACTTCGTGATTTCCGTCTCGCATTAAATAAAGAGTTGGCAATTAAAATTTGTCTCAATTACACTGTGATAATAACAGCAATTAAAATACGACCGACCGACCGACCGACCGACCGACCGACCACTACTACCAACATGTGCCGTGAAATAACTCTCTCACACTTCATCCTCACGTGATCAACATAAATAGAAAGTTGATAAGATCGATAGCGACATGATTAACTGTTACAAGGGCTAAACAATTATTTGAAGGATAGTTAGCACAAAACACTTCAAAACTATGCACGGATGCTTGCCCTTGGACACTAGCTGTTCCGAACAGTTGTTCCTGACATATGCGTCCCGTATTCGTAAACAGTTTATTTTTGCGCCAACTAAGTTAAAGAATGTTCTTATGCCACATGTACACGCACTGTACCTTTTCTTTGAGCGCTTGAGTATCTTCTTCTCGCTAGAAAAGCAATAGAAAATGCAGTGCTAGTAAGATAATATGATGAACCTTGTGAACCTTGTAATAATGAACAAGTAGGAAGGCAACCTCAATCTGGCAGTGAAATCAGTCAAATTTCCGCCGTTCAAGTACATTTATTGTCTGCCATACTACCTTTTGTTTTAATGCCTGCAATTTCTTCTCCTCCTTTGAAATCTCCCTTTGCCTCGATAAACTTTCATCTGACAGAAGATCTCGCCTATAGAGAGAATGATAAACGTACAGGAATTAGGTATCAATTAAGTTTTAGAACTTGATAAAGTATATGTGATGCCTTAGACTACCGAGGTCCAGATAACAGCAATGATTTTCCTCCAAAATTTAAACAGAGTTGCACAAATACAAATATACAAATATCAATATGAGAACAAGTGCCATTTTGGCAAATCTTCATTGAAGCACTCGCTAAGTATCTTTTTTCTATCCTGTGATCAAAACAGTGAGTGCTAGAGAGTTACACTAAAGTTGTCATGCCATCGTGATGTAATCAGTCACTTAGCAACTTTCACATAAACCTTGCGGGCTCAGTCGAGTCACGGGGACTGGAACTCGTTGGCTGTCTACCATTTCATATCCAACGCGCGCTCGTGGAACAATTGTTAATTAGCTAATGATTGTGCAAGAAATTTGACAGTAATTTTAAAACAACACACCTCCAGGATACAAATACAAGAAGTCCTATGTACTAACCACTTTCTGGTCCAATCCTCATCAAAGGGATTGCACACAGCAGGCGTGTCCAGGGTTCTACTAAAACACAAATTAGACATTCCAGCTTCCAGCGGTTTACAGAAAATAGTCAGAATTTAGGAACTTTGCACAGCTCCACAACAAAAACTAAGAAAGAATGACAACTGCATATAATTCATGGTACGCCACCCATATAGTCACCCTGCAGTTTGCTTGCAGTTAGCATTTATTTGCAGCTGCAGCATTTATGGGGCGATGGGCAAGGTGACTATATGTTTGCTACCATGAGGTTCTTGTCATGACAAGAGGTAAGCATGCATTCATATTTTTTTTGGGATATTCTCTCTCGAGAAAGTTACACAGGTTATGTTGATATTCACATCACAGATGTTCCCATTGCCCTTGTATGGTCAGTACACAATGTAAGTCATTGGTAAACTACGGAATCTGTCTACAGTCTTGCAAAGCACTGAATAACCATATTTAAATGTCCATGTGGCTGTGAACTGAAGCATTGCTTCATTGCTTCATTGCTTCATTGACGGTTTGTTGAAAAGATAACTAGAATTTTAATCCCATTCAATGCCGTGGAGTATCACCATATTTAAGCCAACTCGGTCTGGCACCTCAGGCGATATTCAACGTGATTTTCCAAGACAATTGTTAAATACAGCACATCACAGCTCTAGTCACATCTCAAACATTATCCATGGGACAGAATTTCATTGGACTGGATTCTTGTACATGTACATCACAACTGCTGTTTTTCCTTATGTCTACATCAACCATGTGATATATCAAACACGATAGACTGTTTCATTGCACTTCAAAACACAGTTGCTGAACAGAGTTGAAAAAAGATAGACGACAAACTTTGAGCTGCTTGGAAATGTATTGAGGCGCTGTGGTTGCACAATCACAAAACTCATATCACGCCACTCAATTTTGCCTTTGCTTCCTGTTTTTAAACTTACCTTGATTGATAACTACTGCTTGGAGGTGACACTTCAATGGGACCTGTAAATGGCAAATAAGTGTAACTACACAGTCAGATACATTACTAATAATATACATGAAAACATTATTCGATTCTGATTGGCTGAGAGGAGTGCAGTTCAAGTGTAACACCAGTGCAAATTACACATCGTAATTCTAGATTATGATTGGCTGAAAGAAAATAGGAAATTTTCTCAGTCAATGATATCACATAAAATGATGGTGAAAATTTAGTGCAGAAACTTTGACAAAAGTTTCCTCGAATGAGAAAAAATGGTATCAAGAAAGATCTTCCCGCATTTCCTCCACGCGAATTTTTTCATGTTTATGTTATTAATAAGTAATCATATGGTTTTTCTCACCCAATTTGGAATTAATTAACACTTGTGAGTTTTTCAAAAAGTTCTGCCGGGGTGGCTCATGCAATTTCAGCTTTTTTGAAAAACTCACTCATGTAAATTAATTCCAAATTGTACTCACAACCATATGATTACCTATACAAAACATACAGTGGAACCTGGTTAATATGGACACCAGAAGTGTCTGTATAATCCGGGTGTCTGTATTATAATCAAACAAGCTGATGTAGGAAAAAAGGTTGCACAGGTGCAGTATCATGTAAGCGCCTTGCCCAATTACACACTACACTATACAGTGAATGCCTTGCCTTATCAAATAACCAATCAGAAGGAGAGGATTCTCCAAGCTGTGGGACTCTGTAATTAATACTGTAGCTCTCCAGCATGGAAGTTTTACACAAGTCCACTATTGTACAGCCTCCTATGCAGAGGTTCTTAAGGCTTGCTACTGATTCCTCCCAGTGGAGCTTAGCTATTGTACTATGACATTGTGCTATAATGCCTCTTTCATCACTCCATGGAACCCTACAGTCATTTTACTAACCTGGCCTTGAGTACAAACTAACATCTGAGGTAGCCTGGCGGGATCTGTTGACAGATCTCCTTGGTGATGCCATTACCCTCAGCCTGGTTGATGACTGGGGAGCGGAGGCTGGGACTGTGAATGACACAGAGGGTGGTAGCAAGCTGGATCTCGGTGACAACAGACTTCCATTTTCTGACCTGTTTGATTAAAACAGAGACGTGCAATCACAATGAAAGACAATTTTCTACACTAAAACTAAAATTGCACGCTAAAATTTTTCTTTAACCATACGTTCAGATCCTTGATTTTGCCATGCACAAAAGATTCTGAGATACATGTACGACACGTAAACATACGACTACAAAGTGATCACAGTAGTGATACCCCACAACTGTACTTCTGAGCTATGAAGCAAATGGAAGCAGCAGACACTGACAGTCATTATGGTATGCTATAATTATGTAACTAGGACTTACACAGTTGTATTTAACTCTTTCATTTCCAAGATTACAAGACAAATTCTCCCCATAAAGCACAGCACATTTTTGCTGTCTGACAAAATGGTCGTACCGCACAATGTAGAGTTGTTATACATGTACATGAACAAAATATCTCCAGGTTTATCCCAGAACATTTCAACCCTTGCAACCCTGTATTTTTTTTCCTCCCCTCAAAAAAAAACATTTTTTCTTAGTACATACACACATGGCTACTTTGCATATCTAGCACTTAATATTTATTATTTTTGGACAGCTAGTACTCCTGTTGATTTTTTCAATTACATGTATTTTTTTTTGTTTAAGTAATACATGTGTCCATTTACACACAACAAAATGCCAAAACACCAATGAAACTACTAACGAGTACATCTAGCAGTGGGGATTCTCCACTGTTAGATGTAATTGACATGGTAATAAAGTCATTATTATCATTAGTATTATTATTATTACTATTACTATTATTATTATTATTATTATTATTATTATTAATGACACAAATAATTCATTAGTTAAACTTATTAGTTAGGTACTGTACATTTAAAGCTGTGGTCAGTTCTTGCTGTTGTTGTTTTCCTCCTTTGTCAAAGCAATTTTCAAAGTTCCAATTCAATTAGTACCTTTTTCAGGACTTACAAGTACAAAATGTACACACTCTAAAAGTTGTTGAGTTCTAGTATGCTACATGAGCAAATAAATCATTTGCATGATCTACCTTCCATGTGACCTTGTCTTGGTAAGAAAATCAGTGTCAACTTGTAATGGTTCAGCCACAGTTCTGTTCCAAGATGTTCCAACACTTTCAGGTGTCTGTATGGTGGTGAACTGCGCCACTAACTGTTTGTATCTGTCTCGTTCATCCAGGCGAACAACCTTGATTGTGAGAAAAACAGTCCAATTAACAAAGGCAAGGGTTGTCCACTGGTACATGTAAACTGGACACTCTGTAAGGCAGCCAGACTAATATCTTTTCCGCTATTAATATTTCGCGTAAAAAATTATGAGGCTGTATCTTGACAAAAATTTGAGACAACTGCACCCATGAAATTTGAATAGAATTCTCCATGAATTTTTAAACCAACATGAAAGCCTCTTAAGGAAACCTTCCATTACTTTATTTTCATGGTATAAGTACGTGCTGAAGTCTCACTCAACATTGTGCCTTCACGTGCAAGCGCATGTACAGCAGACACAAATACCATAACATATCCACTTGAAGGATGCTAACTACATGTACATGTATGTGTGAAATCCAGTAAGCATATCCAATACTCAAAACTAAGCAACAGATGTGTTCCTCTTTCTTGAATGAAGACAAAAGTTGGTGCATTGCTGTACACAACCACACCCCGATTATCCTAGGGTATTCAACAATTTACAAAGTAAATTCTAATGACAAGCCACCATCATTCATCTCTCAGAATAGGAACAACCAAAAAGCTGATATACTGTACTGCACTGTACACAGTCACTACACTGAAAAAAGCTTTTTGAGCAAAATTAAGGCTAAGGCCCCCTATCAAATATTTGTGACCTCTCACGTGAAAACATTTCTTACGGCTAACTGTTTTGAACTGGATAGCATTTTGTGAGTAGGTTGTCAGCCATTTGAACGGGTTGCAATGCCATTCAAACAACTTGGGCTATCTGTTTTTTTTTTTTTTTTAACAAAAAAAAACATCAGCCGCTCAAACAGCTCAAGCCATTTGTTCAAAAACAGTATTTTACCCTCTCTGCTGTGCTTATGAATCTGTCTCTGTCACCAGGGGATTTCTTGGCTGCAGCACTGTGGATCTGACTCTTTGGTCTTGGTACAGATCGGCCGTTGGATTGAGGTCGTGGAGAGCTACGACCCTTGGTGCTTCCAATCTTGTACTGCATGACTTTGTAGGATGTACTTGTACTGCCAGAAGTGTCTTCATATCTAGATGCTGGTTGGATAATTACTTTACATTCAATAACAACACAAAAAAGGTCCAAAAGTTGACACTAAACACAGAAAAATTATTTCATCTTCCCTGATATGTTTTATTAAAGTACACCTTAAAAATGTTCTGCTTAGTTTACATAGGTGTACATGAATCAGAAGCCTGTGAACAGGCTCCCAGTGAGGATGAAAACATTCAGCTTGCGTGAAGAGAGCCAAGCGTTGTATCCTTCCCAGGCTAGATAATCAGGCCAAATAATCCAATCGGGTTTGTCAGTGTCCTGTCTAGCCCAGATAATCCAATCGGGAGCCTGTTCACAGTAATTACGATAATCCTTACTATTCAGGGCATCTGACAGGATGTGGTGGTGTGGATCCGTATAATTCCCTAACATCCATATCCTCCGCATAATCAGACCTTTAATTTCTGCATAAACCAGTTAGTGTTTCATATTAGTAACGAAGCAGCTGCTTACCATCCCCACAAGTTAAAATTCCGAGGAGATTTATTATGTTGAATTCTTTTTCTCTTTCACGAAAAAAAAAAATTTTGTTCGTGATGACTTTTCAACCTCGAGGCGTTCCATCCATCTTTTGGCAAATAGCCTGGAAACTACTGTAGTTTTTCATCATTCACTGCAATACCTGGTTACTAAGTTACGGACATTCCAAGAACGCAACAACAAATTTTTCACCCAAAATATTCTACATTGTGTATTCAAACCTGTGTTAAATGAAGAAATACCTGTCAACAAATACTAGAAACAGATCAAGCATGTGTCAAAGTTGGCAGGCATGATGTTTAATAAGTAGATTAAATTCTGGGTAAGACTTTGAAGTGCTTTTTGTTTCACTGTTGTTTGGTAAATTGGAAAGGCTTTCTTATCAATTTTGTAAACTGTTCAAGTTTCCTCATAATCCAGTGTGTTTTCTGCATAATAATATGCCAGAAAAACTTAATCGATTCTGATTGGCTGAGAGCAGTGCAGTTCAAGTGTAACATCAGTGCAAAAAGCGTAACACCAGTGCAAATTACACATCGTAAAATTTTCTGGAATATGATTGGCTGAAAGACAACAGGAAATTTTTTAGCCAATGATATCATGTAAAATGATGATGAAAATTTTGTGCAGAAACTTTGAGAAAAGTTTTCTCAAATGAGAAAAAATGGCTTCAAGAAAGATCTTCCAGCATTTCCTCCAAGCGTATTTTTTCATGTTTATATTATTTATAAGTAATCATATGGTTTTTCCTGTTCAATTTGGAATTACTTTGCACAAGTGAGTTTTTAAAAAAGCTGAAATTGCACTTGCCGAAGCGGCTTGTGCAATTTCAGCTTTTTGAAAAACTCACTTGTGCAAATTAATTCCAAACTGAACTCGAAACCGAATGACGACCTATACTAATCAAAACATTTTTCCGCACTTTCCCCCTAGAAATTTCTGCACAAGTTAACTTGTCCTTTTTTTTTCCACACCCTGTCAGATGGCATGACTATTATGGACAGCATGACAAAATAGAGAGCATTGCCTGTACCTGTCCTCTGTTTTGAAAACCAAATGAAAGGGTGATCCAGGGTATCGTACACCTCCTTTTAGATAAATCACTGCAGTTTTAGATATCTTTTTCTTGTTGATATTTTCTTTTTGTTGCATTGTTGTTTTTGTTGTTGCATGAACTACTGTACGGTCATCATAAACAGAATTGTTTCAACCTTGACGTGATATCAAAAAGATGAGTATAATCCCTTCCAAAACTGTATTTTCACTTATTACACACTGAATCTCACACTTCTTTGAGGTCAAACACATACATGTGCTAATTAAAGTTTGATTTTCACAAATCCTGTTGCAAAACTTGCAAAAAGGAAAAAAGTTGACAATAGACTTACGATCATAGACTCTTCCTGAACTTTCCGTCACACTCTTACTTTGCCTTGTGGATGTCAGTAACCCCTTTCTGTTTGATTTATTGCAAGATCTTGCTGGTGTTGAGGTTTCTGGTCCTCTGCTCTTGTTCAGTGGTCTCCTTGTTAAACCAGGACTTCCTTGATGTCGCCACTCATTAGTTAGAGCGCTCTATAAAGAAAGATGATTTCTCGTCATGCTATTTTTTGTTTTTTGTTTTTTAATTATGCTTGTATAGCTACAGTGCTAGGTCAGAGCACCTCCCAAACTACAACGTAACAAGTGACACCACATTCATACATGTACACTCACACTAGTTGATCTTGTACTTGTAGAACATCTAATTTTCTCCATTTCATCCTCAGCATCATTCAGATCTCTCCTCAAGGAAGATTTGCCATCGTCTAGAGTTTCTCCCTTGACCACGTACTGCCAGAAGTACCTACCAGACCATGATTTGACTTTCTTGACGAAATCACTAAAACTCTGGATAGGGCTGTTGTTACTGCTTTCATGGGCAGCTGAATAAGAAGACAGATCAAAGAAGTTAAATAATAGATTACTTAGCTCTTATTAACCGAGCTGGAGGTCTGTATGGGAGAATCTTGACCAAGGTCATGAGTACAGACTGAACGCAGTGAGGTCTGTACACACGACTGAGGTCAAGATTCTCCCATACAGACCAACTTAGCTTGGTTAATAAGATGTTAATTATATGGCAAAGAAGAAAACTTTAATTCGTTTAATGTAACTGGTTTCCTGACATTTTGCTTGGGAACGGTAATGAGCTTAACTTAACCCTGCTGAAATTTGTTTGTCCTCTTTACTTTTTTTTTCGTCATCAGGCTATTTGGCACTTCCATAAATGATTGAGAAGAAAATAAAAGAAAATGGTGAACATTTTTGTATTTTAGTTTGCTACTTTATCAATGCAAAATGAAACCGGTCTAGATGCCAGTCTAGATGGGAAAATCTAGACCGCAGTCAATATCAAATTCGTGAATTCGGTAGTTCCCAGTCCTTGTGAGACACAGCCATATAATAAATTGTATTAATACTTTCTTGAATAAAGGTGGCTTACAGTAGTTCACTATGGTTTTATGACTCTACACTGTATGTACTCATCATGAAATTGTTTTAGAAATCTGCATGTACTCAGAGGAAAAGGTCAGAGTTTTTTGTTATTTCATGGTGTCAGCATGACTGGGAAAAGCAATATTGACGGTGAATTTTCTCAAATTTCTCTGTAAAATTTGGCAGACTGGTGCATAATATCTTGATGTATTTTACTTTATTCAGGAAAATCTACCATACCAGGCGGTAATATTGAATGTTCAGCAGTTTCTCTGCCACATCTCTGAACATTTTACTTAACAATAAACTAAATACGTGTAGTTGAGCTCTTTTACTCCCTCAAAACTGAACTACGCCATGCTCTTGATTGAGGGCCCTTCCTCCAACAAATCCATACACATGCATGTTAAGCGTCCCTTCACAACAATTTTCATTAAAAACCAAACACCAGGCAAATTGAACAGCTGTGAGGATGATTTTGGCTGCTTGGTTTGACCATCTGGAAGAAAGTTATTACTAATTTTTCCATCGGCACGCAAAACTTCTTCGACACAAACTTTTTATAGGAAAACCTTTCCTCTAGATGGTCAAACCAGGCAGGCAAAATCATCCTCACAGCAAGACAATTTGTCTGGTGCTTGATCCTTATTGAGCCCCTTAAACTGTAGGGCCTTGACACGTATGCCAGAGATGTACTGTAGCTGAGAAAAACTACAGCATGCTCATGACTAATCAATAATAATTTACCAGCCACTCTCAGCATTGTTAGACTGTGCTGTGACCTCAAAAATTGCCCACTACAGTACTTTGTTTTCACATGAAATCTTAGCCAGAGATGAACTCTCATTCAGCCAGGGAAATTAAGCAGTAACCCACCAGCTCTTAGCCACATCACTTGTATCTACTGTAACATGCATGCTGTCAAAACTCACCTCCCTCAATATTCCTTAACCTCTTTGCTGGTGGTGTCTAGAGTTGTAAATCAAAGAAATATTTTCTATTTTAATGTGGCTAAATGTAATCTAGGTTGTTAAACGTGGAACAACTGCTGGCCAAAGGTGCCCCTCCTTGATGCTGGCCAGTAACTTCTATTTTGGCCGAACATACTTGCACATGTGAATCTGTTTCCACAGTTACCAATTAGGACTCAAAATCAATCTCCTAAAATAATGCCCAACATTTCCCCCAACAACAATGACAAATGATGCAAATCCCCAAACATACATGTATTTGGCAAATAAGGTGACAAATCCCCCACTATAGCCCCACATAATCTTGGTGAGGGGGGATTTCGAGAGGATTTCAAGGTTTGCTTTGATTCATGCATAATACTCTAGAAAATTCTCAAGGGGACTAGTCATGGCTGGTCATGCTTGCCAAAAAAGAAAGAAAATGGGGGATGTGGAAATCTTGTGTCAAATTCCCTCTGTGGTTGAATATTTACTGGCAGAAACCACCAAATGTACTAGCTGATAATCATTTGAAATAATTAATAATTATTTACATGTAGTTCGAATACAGTATATGAACCAACCTGAAGAACATCAGTTATAACAACATCGTCCTCCCTTAAAAAGGCACAATGCGGATACAAAAGTAAATTAGAAAATAAAATAAGATAAGCTAAATAATCAAACTTTAAGCTTGATATACATTGTAGGCTTTAAAAGTTGGTCGCAAGCTTGGTTGTGATAACAGATTATCAGTAGCTTTCACTCTGTGTCAAAATTCAGTAGAATTTATCGGCGACATTAGCAAACAAATCGCACTTCGCAACCAAAGTTTAATTGAACTGATAAGGTACTAGTCTTAACGCTTGAGTGCCAAGTCGAACTCTACATGCAAGCTTCTCACATCGACTTTGAATGTTCAAAGAGTGTTCTGGCATAAAGCACAATTTTTTTCGCAGAATCGCACCATATAAATACACATCGTCGAACAGAATGCTACAGAATACCTTTCTCTTCGACGTTTGTCTCCTGGTTTCCTTCCAGAGAGAGAATAAGAGCGAATATTGTCGTAAAAAGACGATAAAGATGCCAACATGGTCGCCCTCACGAATTTACCGCCATAAGATTACCACTGGCCAAATGCAGGCGAGTGTGACGTCACCCATGGCAGACGGTACACGATGTTGCGAACTACATTAAACATTTCATCCCATTTTAAAACTTTTCGGTATGGACCGTCGCAAGAGTGAGAGAAACAGCGTTTTTAACTGCAATAAGAACGTTTTTAACGCTCGTTAGTCGGTTACTAAGGAATGATTATGATGTATAATTGAGTTTCGTGACGTCATAGGCTGCACTTTCCGTTGAAGGCTAGGACTTGCTCTATAATGCTTGGTTAGGCATGTGCAAGTTTCGTCATAGTTTCCAAGCTTTCAGCGCAAGAGTCGAGCGCTTTAATTTCTGAGTGTCTTCGCGCAGCGTTTCTGGTTGGATGTTGGTCACTTTATGTGAAGCCTCAATTAAATTCTTTTGGCGATTTTCAAGACGATTTCCAAAGTTGATTTTAGTTATGGAACCTCGGGCATCAATACGAGACAAGGAAGATCAGCTGTAACAGTTACTTCATCATTTTGTTTTATTATAATTATGAAGGACACGTACAACGCTATGTATTTTCAGCTTTTTTCAGCTTTTTTAGATTAGCATTTTAACCAGAAAGGAATAAAAATACTCCTTGTCGTTGTTTGTTACAGAAGCTGAGATTCTCCGGCCGTATAGTCCATTTTATAGGCGAACACAGCCTCTGCATATGAGCCCGGTCAACCGGGCTGGCTCGGTTTCCAAGATCTCGCTTCGCAACTCTTTCCTTCATTAAAATTTCGATATGTTCATATGAGAAGCCGGGCTGGCCCAGTTACCGATACCTCGGTCTTTGCGACCAAGATCTCGGTAACCGGGATGAAAATTTTCCCATATGAACACTCCAGCTCGGGTGACCGGGACGAAACTTTTTAGACACAATAGCTTCGCTTTCGCATCATAGCCGCCAAAATGGCATAATTTTTGTCCTGTATGTATTTCCACTTTAGCAGTACGCGAATTAGGTTTATTTGTAAAGTTAGAAGAGTCCACAAATCTTTATGTTCCACAAGTTTATGTTCCACCATTTTGGTTGTGTTTCTTGAATTTCATCCCGGTCGACCCGGCTGAAATTTCCCATATGAACAGACAACAAAATTCGTCCCGGTAACCGAGCCGGCCCGGTTACCGGGCTCATATGAAGATGCCCCGAGATCTCGGTAACCGGGATGAAAATTTTCCCATATGAACACTCCAGCCCGGGTGACCGAAATGAAACTTTTTTACAAAATAGCTTCGCTATCGCAACAAAGCGCCCAAAATGGCATAATTTTTGTCTTGTATGCAATTCCACTTCAGAGGTATACGGATTACCTTTATTAGTAAAGTTACAAAAGTCCACAAAGCTACAATAACCTCGAACGATACAAGTTTATGTTCCACCATTTTTTCGACCGGGCTGAAATTTCCCATATGAATATAGAACAAAATTCGTCTCGGTCCCGGAATCCTATCAGAGGATTACACTGGGAAACCAATGCAGAAAAAATGGATATCCTCGATTACGCGGAAAAATTTTTTCATCAGTATGAAGCATGTGCATGTTTTTTTTCCTCCGGCACTGAACGCAGGCTTGCAAAACAACGTCCGAACCCGGCTGGCGTGTAATCTGAAGTAACCAAACTGGCAAGGTAGTGAAAGGGAAAAAACCTAAATTGCAGCTGCTACCGTGTGCCACACCACTGGGTGTAATGTGGTTTGTAACGAAAGGTTTTCCGTGTGGACCTGCGCGGTTAAGGACGGATATGGACTATCAGCTGCGCTTGGGTGCTGTGGAAAACAGGAATAACGGCGGACGGACTTGTCTTACAATAGAGGGAAGTTCCTTTCCTTTCTATGTCAACATTTATGAATTTTTAATTATCCTGCATTTAAGATTCATACATTGTTATCTTATGACATTATTTCCTGTAGATTATGATAAGTTTACGATTCTAAGTAAAGTGCGGAACTAATTTACGATAAGGATATATAGAAGACCTAATATTAAATATAAACCTACTTCTAGTTTCGAGGGGTATTTCTCTTCTGTGACAGGTTATAGCAGAAAATAATCGAAAATTATTCCACAAGGAAAGTGACTATAGCTCTCTAAATTAAACTAGAAGCTGTACTCGTCCCCAAGAGCCCCAATCTTCAATGATGCATCGTGGGTCCAGGTAAGTTTTTTTTTTTCCTCACAAAAAGTCCTTTTTCATGAACGGGTAAGAGTTGAAATCTGCCAAAGTGACCCGAGCTTATCTAAGGTTCCAAGGAACTACTCCCTAGAAGCTAGGATCTAGGGGGAATGCCAGTCTTTCGAAAGGTTACTCCTCATACCGATTTAACGATACATTTGTTGTACTCCCGGAAGGAGAGAGCCACCAGTCAGAGTAAAACCTCTCCCCCAAGAACACAATACAACGACTCCTGCCCACTCCCCCCCTCACTCCCCCACCGACCAGAGCATGAATCGGCTCTATCAAGAGTTCAGCGTGCCAAACGCTAGGCCACTGCCCCTCTTACAATTATCGGAAAACGAACTGGCCATATAGTTGGGACCAAAATTTTTCAGAAACCTTATTAAAGGAGCCCGGCGAGCGAGTTGTCTTGCTGGGAGGTGCTCTGTACCGAGTATAATATCAACGAAACTTACGTGTTACCACTGTGGTAAGAAAAGATTGGGCTAGCAGCTCTTCGCAACAGAACGCTAAACCTTTATCATTCATGGTCTATTCATCTTGTTTTTTAATGGACTCGGAATAAAAAGTAAGATATATTGCTATGATTACTAGGTAAGCAGTACTATAATAATAACATTAACAACACTGCCACACAGTCTGCGTGTACTTACAGAGAAATAGTAAATATATTATCGATAATTTGTAAATTTGACTGAATGTCCGTTCGGGACGGTTTTCCCCTCGGGGAGTAGAGAGAAGGATGGAGTAACCGTCCCCTTCTCTCTCCCCCCTCCTCCATCCCCTAGATGATCCCTGAGGTGAAAAACTTGTCCGCAGGGTAATTTCAAAATTGAAATGCAATTGGAATTAAAACTTATCCCACAAAAAGCTAGCTAGCTATTACTCTATACTTTGATATTAATAATATTCTGTTTCAATAATATTCCAGTTAATTTACCAATCTTAATCTAGTTTACAAATATACTAGCACAGAATAGAACGTAATATTGATAAATGTATTTATAATATTATTTTAAATGTTCTGTCTCTATAAAGAACGGAAACATTAACTTTAATTCTTTATAAATCGAATGTTTTGACCGAAGAAAATGTGTTGCCTAAAAATACTTTATAAAGCGAGAACCTAGGCCTGTTATTTTTTGTTGTCTTTGTTTTTTTCTTAATTTTTATTTGTACTAGTTCACTTACTTTTCTATACCGGGAGGTAGAAATAAACATGTCGCAAGCCACACCAAAAATGACGAGCTGCAACCCTGTCCAAACTACGCTCGAGAAATTTGAAAACGGAGATTTCTCCAGAAAACGCATCAAGCATTTTTCGTCCACACTAAGCCGGAGGAATTTGAAAACACAACAATCAGCAGTCATTTTGGAGTTTGTCTGAGGAAATCTCGGGTAGGGAAATTACATGATTATCGTGACTACACCGTTCAAAAAAAAAAAAAAAAAAAANTCATCCTCACAGCAAGACAATTTGTCTGGTGCTTGATCCTTATTGAGCCCCTTAAACTGTAGGGCCTTGACACGTATGCCAGAGATGTACTGTAGCTGAGAAAAACTACAGCATGCTCATGACTAATCAATAATAATTTACCAGCCACTCTCAGCATTGTTAGACTGTGCTGTGACCTCAAAAATTGCCCACTACAGTACTTTGTTTTCACATGAAATCTTAGCCAGAGATGAACTCTCATTCAGCCAGGGAAATTAAGCAGTAACCCACCAGCTCTTAGCCACATCACTTGTATCTACTGTAACATGCATGCTGTCAAAACTCACCTCCCTCAATATTCCTTAACCTCTTTGCTGGTGGTGTCTAGAGTTGTAAATCAAAGAAATATTTTCTATTTTAATGTGGCTAAATGTAATCTAGGTTGTTAAACGTGGAACAACTGCTGGCCAAAGGTGCCCCTCCTTGATGCTGGCCAGTAACTTCTATTTTGGCCGAACATACTTGCACATGTGAATCTGTTTCCACAGTTACCAATTAGGACTCAAAATCAATCTCCTAAAATAATGCCCAACATTTCCCCCAACAACAATGACAAATGATGCAAATCCCCAAACATACATGTATTTGGCAAATAAGGTGACAAATCCCCCACTATAGCCCCACATAATCTTGGTGAGGGGGGATTTCGAGAGGATTTCAAGGTTTGCTTTGATTCATGCATAATACTCTAGAAAATTCTCAAGGGGACTAGTCATGGCTGGTCATGCTTGCCAAAAAAGAAAGAAAATGGGGGATGTGGAAATCTTGTGTCAAATTCCCTCTGTGGTTGAATATTTACTGGCAGAAACCACCAAATGTACTAGCTGATAATCATTTGAAATAATTAATAATTATTTACATGTAGTTCGAATACAGTATATGAACCAACCTGAAGAACATCAGTTATAACAACATCGTCCTCCCTTAAAAAGGCACAATGCGGATACAAAAGTAAATTAGAAAATAAAATAAGATAAGCTAAATAATCAAACTTTAAGCTTGATATACATTGTAGGCTTTAAAAGTTGGTCGCAAGCTTGGTTGTGATAACAGATTATCAGTAGCTTTCACTCTGTGTCAAAATTCAGTAGAATTTATCGGCGACATTAGCAAACAAATCGCACTTCGCAACCAAAGTTTAATTGAACTGATAAGGTACTAGTCTTAACGCTTGAGTGCCAAGTCGAACTCTACATGCAAGCTTCTCACATCGACTTTGAATGTTCAAAGAGTGTTCTGGCATAAAGCACAATTTTTTTCGCAGAATCGCACCATATAAATACACATCGTCGAACAGAATGCTACAGAATACCTTTCTCTTCGACGTTTGTCTCCTGGTTTCCTTCCAGAGAGAGAATAAGAGCGAATATTGTCGTAAAAAGACGATAAAGATGCCAACATGGTCGCCCTCACGAATTTACCGCCATAAGATTACCACTGGCCAAATGCAGGCGAGTGTGACGTCACCCATGGCAGACGGTACACGATGTTGCGAACTACATTAAACATTTCATCCCATTTTAAAACTTTTCGGTATGGACCGTCGCAAGAGTGAGAGAAACAGCGTTTTTAACTGCAATAAGAACGTTTTTAACGCTCGTTAGTCGGTTACTAAGGAATGATTATGATGTATAATTGAGTTTCGTGACGTCATAGGCTGCACTTTCCGTTGAAGGCTAGGACTTGCTCTATAATGCTTGGTTAGGCATGTGCAAGTTTCGTCATAGTTTCCAAGCTTTCAGCGCAAGAGTCGAGCGCTTTAATTTCTGAGTGTCTTCGCGCAGCGTTTCTGGTTGGATGTTGGTCACTTTATGTGAAGCCTCAATTAAATTCTTTTGGCGATTTTCAAGACGATTTCCAAAGTTGATTTTAGTTATGGAACCTCGGGCATCAATACGAGACAAGGAAGATCAGCTGTAACAGTTACTTCATCATTTTGTTTTATTATAATTATGAAGGACACGTACAACGCTATGTATTTTCAGCTTTTTTCAGCTTTTTTAGATTAGCATTTTAACCAGAAAGGAATAAAAATACTCCTTGTCGTTGTTTGTTACAGAAGCTGAGATTCTCCGGCCGTATAGTCCATTTTATAGGCGAACACAGCCTCTGCATATGAGCCCGGTCAACCGGGCTGGCTCGGTTTCCAAGATCTCGCTTCGCAACTCTTTCCTTCATTAAAATTTCGATATGTTCATATGAGAAGCCGGGCTGGCCCAGTTACCGATACCTCGGTCTTTGCGACCAAGATCTCGGTAACCGGGATGAAAATTTTCCCATATGAACACTCCAGCTCGGGTGACCGGGACGAAACTTTTTAGACACAATAGCTTCGCTTTCGCATCATAGCCGCCAAAATGGCATAATTTTTGTCCTGTATGTATTTCCACTTTAGCAGTACGCGAATTAGGTTTATTTGTAAAGTTAGAAGAGTCCACAAATCTTTATGTTCCACAAGTTTATGTTCCACCATTTTGGTTGTGTTTCTTGAATTTCATCCCGGTCGACCCGGCTGAAATTTCCCATATGAACAGACAACAAAATTCGTCCCGGTAACCGAGCCGGCCCGGTTACCGGGCTCATATGAAGATGCCCCGAGATCTCGGTAACCGGGATGAAAATTTTCCCATATGAACACTCCAGCCCGGGTGACCGAAATGAAACTTTTTTACAAAATAGCTTCGCTATCGCAACAAAGCGGCCAAAATGGCATAATTTTTGTCTTGTATGCAATTCCACTTCAGAGGTATACGGATTACCTTTATTAGTAAAGTTACAAAAGTCCACAAAGCTACAATAACCTCGAACGATACAAGTTTATGTTCCACCATTTTTTCGACCGGGCTGAAATTTCCCATATGAATATAGAACAAAATTCGTCTCGGTCCCGGAATCCTATCAGAGGATTACACTGGGAAACCAATGCAGAAAAAATGGATATCCTCGATTACGCGGAAAAATTTTTTCATCAGTATGAAGCATGTGCATGTTTTTTTTCCTCCGGCACTGAACGCAGGCTTGCAAAACAACGTCCGAACCCGGCTGGCGTGTAATCTGAAGTAACCAAACTGGCAAGGTAGTGAAAGGGAAAAAACCTAAATTGCAGCTGCTACCGTGTGCCACACCACTGGGTGTAATGTGGTTTGTAACGAAAGGTTTTCCGTGTGGACCTGCGCGGTTAAGGACGGATATGGACTATCAGCTGCGCTTGGGTGCTGTGGAAAACAGGAATAACGGCGGACGGACTTGTCTTACAATAGAGGGAAGTTCCTTTCCTTTCTATGTCAACATTTATGAATTTTTAATTATCCTGCATTTAAGATTCATACATTGTTATCTTATGACATTATTTCCTGTAGATTATGATAAGTTTACGATTCTAAGTAAAGTGCGGAACTAATTTACGATAAGGATATATAGAAGACCTAATATTAAATATAAACCTACTTCTAGTTTCGAGGGGTATTTCTCTTCTGTGACAGGTTATAGCAGAAAATAATCGAAAATTATTCCACAAGGAAAGTGACTATAGCTCTCTAAATTAAACTAGAAGCTGTACTCGTCCCCAAGAGCCCCAATCTTCAATGATGCATCGTGGGTCCAGGTAAGTTTTTTTTTTTCCTCACAAAAAGTCCTTTTTCATGAACGGGTAAGAGTTGAAATCTGCCAAAGTGACCCGAGCTTATCTAAGGTTCCAAGGAACTACTCCCTAGAAGCTAGGATCTAGGGGGAATGCCAGTCTTTCGAAAGGTTACTCCTCATACCGATTTAACGATACATTTGTTGTACTCCCGGAAGGAGAGAGCCACCAGTCAGAGTAAAACCTCTCCCCCAAGAACACAATACAACGACTCCTGCCCACTCCCCCCCTCACTGCCCCACCCCCCGCCCCCCACCCCCGACCAGAGCATGAATCGGCTCTATCAAGAGTTCAGCGTGCCAAACGCTAGGCCACTGCCCCTCTTACAATTATCGGAAAACGAACTGGCCATATAGTTGGGACCAAAATTTTTCAGAAACCTTATTAAAGGAGCCCGGCGAGCGAGTTGTCTTGCTGGGAGGTGCTCTGTACCGAGTATAATATCAACGAAACTTACGTGTTACCACTGTGGTAAGAAAAGATTGGGCTAGCAGCTCTTCGCAACAGAACGCTAAACCTTTATCATTCATGGTCTATTCATCTTGTTTTTTAATGGACTCGGAATAAAAAGTAAGATATATTGCTATGATTACTAGGTAAGCAGTACTATAATAATAACATTAACAACACTGCCACACAGTCTGCGTGTACTTACAGAGAAATAGTAAATATATTATCGATAATTTGTAAATTTGACTGAATGTCCCTTCGGGACGGTTTTCCCCTCGGGGAGTAGAGAGAAGGAAGGAGTAACCGTCCCCTTCTCTCTCCCCCCTCCTCCATCCCCTAGATGATCCCTGAGGTGAAAAACTTGTCCGCAGGGTAATTTCAAAATTGAAATGCAATTGGAATTAAAACTTATCCCACAAAAAGCTAGCTAGCTATTACTCTATACTTTGATATTAATAATATTCTGTTTCAATAATATTCCAGTTAATTTACCAATCTTAATCTAGTTTACAAATATACTAGCACAGAATAGAACGTAATATTGATAAATGTATTTATAATATTATTTTAAATGTTCTGTCTCTATAAAGAACGGAAACATTAACTTTAATTCTTTATAAATCGAATGTTTTGACCGAATGTTTTGAAATTTGAAAACGGAGATTTCTCCAGAAAACGCATCAAGCATTTTTCGTCCACACTAAGCCGGAGGAATTTGAAAACGCAACAATCAGCAGTCATTTTGGAGTTTGTCTGAGGAAATCTCGGGTAGGGAAATTACATGATTATCGTGACTACACCGTTCAAAAAAAAAAAAAAAAAAAAAAACCACTCCGTTTTCAAAATGTTTTCCGTCCAGACGAAAACAAAAAGCTGTGGTGTTTTTAGATTCCTCCGGTTTGAAGAGCGTTTTCGAAAAGCTCCGTTTTCGTGATGGATTAGTGTGGACGGTAGGCCAAACCGTAGAAATAAAGCTGCGTTTTTTAATTTCTCTAGCGTTGTGCGAATTCAAGTTTAACGCTCCCATGAGGGAGTCTTGCTCCACATAACTAAGTCTGCAATACAACCCAATAAGAATTTTACTCAAAACTGATGAAAAGAACGAACAGCTAACAGCTTCGAGCGGGTGACAAATTATAAAATAAAACACCTTCAAACTAAGCATTTACCAATATCTTATCACTGAAGGATATACCTCGTTACTGGTCGCATCAAAATTGTATGTCATTTTCACAACAATATTTCATCTGCCCCACTGAAACAGGGTTGCGTGGTACTCCAATTCTTTTGTGGCAGACAAAGTAGAATCTTTGAGTTTTACGTGCAACGTACTTTTGTTGGCTGCGAGAAAAAGCAATCCGTTTCAGCAATCTTTTACGAGAAAAAGCTATGTAAATGATCGGACCGAAGAAAAATTGGAGCAGGTTACATATTCGCATGGGATTCTCGTAACTTGCAATTAAAATCATAAAATGTTCTATTATTCTTTTGTGTCACCCCTGGTATAATCTTTAAAACGCATAGTTAAAATGTTGAAGAAACAAGAGGCTTTCAAGTCTCATTAGATTGCGAGAAACCCCTAGCCATAGCTCGACAAGAAAGAAAGCGATGGCTGTGTGCAAAATCTAAGGGGTATGTGCTTGCTTTCCCCCAGATTTCGCGCGGCCATATTTCTTCTCGCGTTCACGGCATGTTCAAATGACTAAGAAAAAAAAAGTTATCTAAATGGTCTTAAATCTTCTTACTCGACCGAGCCTTAAATGTAATCGTCCATTACGATCTTATTTCAAATCTATAGCACAATAACTCGATGATTGTCACTATCGGCAACAACAATGTACCCGCCCGGTGAAACGGCCACACCCTTAGGGTAGCACTTCTGACCCAGGCCATTGAGTCCAGACGCAAGAGTAGCCTCCAGGCTTCCATCCTCATTGAAGATTTGGATACGATGATTGTATTGGTCTGATACAATCACGTGGTTGTCCATGTCGAAAGCAATTCCCGTTGGGTACTTGAGCATCGATTGGCCAATCTCGCGCACGAAGTTCCCATTGCAGTCGAAAACTTTGACAGCGTGATTGTTGCTGTCAGTGACAAAAATGTCGCCATCAGCGTTCATTACCGCGTGATACGGATGATCAAGTTCTTCTTGGGCGTTTCCATGGCAACCAAGCACGCGCAAAAGGCTGCCGTCTTCTCTAAAAATTTGTATCCTACTGTTGCGCCTATCGCTGACTATAATTTCGTCATCGTTCCCCATGGATACTCCCCACGGACGTTTCAACTTCCCCTGACTCTCCCCGTAACCACCAAACTTGTTGATAAAAGCGAAGTCTTTTGTAAAGCGTTGTATTCTGTGATTGTCTTTATCACAGACAACGATATTTCCTTGTTTATCGACTGCTACATCCGTCGGATGGTTCAACTGCCCATTTTTGTCTCCGAGGTTTCCAAAACTCTTGATGAACTTTCCTTGGGGGTCAAAAACCTGTACGCGATGATTATGACAGTCGGCTACCAGGATTCTCCCCTCGCTGTCTACCGCCACACCGCAAGGAAGCTTGAATTTCCCTTTAACTTCGCCCAGACTTCCAATACACAAAGTTGGACGCGTGATCTTGCTGTAAACGCGAGGATTGGTGACCATAACCTTGAAAGGGCTTCCTCTGATCGGCTGATGGTGGATTGCGATTCCAACTTCATGTTCACCGTTTAAACTGGGAGTGAATCCCACTGCATAACTTCCGTCGCCTTTGTCGACGATTTCCGAACGGATGGTCGTCTTGTTCGGGCTTCGGACGTCGATAGTAACAAGATCTCCGCCGCGATTTTTCGGCTGGTTGTCGAAACCTTTCGCTGTCACAACGAACTCGGCAGATGCCCCGACCTGGGCCTTCACCAGCCCGTCGCCATTTGCCGTCGACAAATCCGAGCAGGTGTCGGAAACGACAATGTGCCCGAGCGCTTTCCGAGTAGTTTCAACGGAGTTTTCCTCCGGAAAATAGTAGATGTTTTTTAAATTTGTGGCGCTGTAGTCTTTTCGAGTGTGCGAAATATCGTTTAACTTTCTCTTCAAGTGCTTCTGGATGACTAAAATTTCTAATTCATTGCCGATTTTGACTGCCCTTTCTGCAAATTGACAACTGCCACTCAGTCGTTCAAGAATTAATTCAAAGTACTGCTTTTCCTTTCGCAGTGAGCTTTCCTTGCTCTTAAAAGCGCTGCTTATCTCGTCCAGCAATCTTTCTTCTTGTTGTTGGAGAGTCGCTATTAAAATCTGCGTGTTTTCACGAATGGCCTTTTCCATAGATGCGCGTTCCTCCTGAAGTTTGAAAAGCAAGGTTTTGACTTCGTTCAGCGATTTTCGCGTGTTTTCAATCTGTGTTTTTCCCTGGCCGAGTAAACTTGCCATGCTGTGCTTTTGCTTGTGATAAACTTCGCGTAAATAAGAAAATCGATGTTTTCTGTGCTCAGAAGCGGTGCAATCGAGGCAAATCGGCTCGTCACATGTCTCGCAAAAGTACTTTAGCTTTTCTTTCTGATGATCGGGACAGCTACCAAGCATGCTCGTCACTTCGGAGTGCTCTTCGGGTATGTCCTCGAGAAATTGATCTGGTAAATGATGCACGGCATAGTCCTTGGAATGCTTGTGAAATTTGCGATGGTGGTTGTGATGTATCGGCGGCGATCGAAGAAGCTTTGAGTTCGTTGTGTTAATCGCTACAATTTCCGCAAAATACCCATTCAGCAGCGCCGCGGGCGTCTGGGAGAGTTTATCGGGAAGAAACGAGTTCATCATACAGTTATAAAACCTCTTCTTCAATATATCGTCGTTTAAATCACAAAATTTTCCAGGATCCATGGATACTTCGTTGAGCTATCAAAGATTTGAACAGTGCAGTCTCATGTAAATTTGATTTGAAAGTCGGTTAAACCACTCGAGAAAGGTTTTTGTGGCTGCGATGTTTACGATTCTTAAGTAAGCAATATTCGTTGCGGGGGAGATAAAAACAAGGAAGTTTTTTTCTGATATCTGTCCGTTATTGATCCAAAGGAGAGGCTGTAATTTCTGAAACTTCAAGGGTATTGCTTTATCCAGGAAGAAGATAGGGGACGAGATCTCCTGAAAATGGACAAAAGAAAAATACACCAGATGTTAAATGCAAATATGCAAACGAAAAGTATAACACAGATTACAGGACAAAAAACTTCGTTGACACAAGCCAATAAAATACCTAAGAAAACTGACAAAATCATGTCAAAAATGGATCAAACTAACAGGATTTGTTTAAACTACAAAGAAAGCACGCGACATTTGAATCCGAAACGGAAACATTTCGTTCGCCCTTACATGTAAATTACAGTTGCGCTGGACGAAAGACTGTTCGGGTGATATCCCTTGCACTTGATGGCCAGAATACCAGCTGTTGATTTTCAAGGCGGCCTTTATCCTCTACACAAAAGAATCATTCTTTCCAATCAATTACATTTATGATTTGTCTTCAGGACGCTAAACGACGGAACAAAGGGAAAGCGCTCTGATTGGCTTTGGGCAAACACAGCGTCAATTTCGTCTTGTCTCATCATAGTACCCGAAAATACTAAGGCGTCTTAAAAGCAATTTGTGAAAAATCTAAATAACAAATCGTTTCCTTAGACAGATTAATTGATAGAATATTACAGAGCGTGCGTGCACGAAAGGGCAATTTGGATCTCGTGCGTTTCCGCGCCAAAAAAAGAACAAATTTGACCTGTGCCCTGCATGTATTTCGTTTTATAATTTTGGTTGGGTGCTTGTCAACAAAGTGATTAAAAATGCGCTAATGCCGCTTTAAATGCCACACAGCTGGTAATTCACAACAGTGTTAATCGTTTAAAATTCAACAAACTAGATAACAGATCCATTTTATCCTATTAAATTGAGATAAAATGATTGTTGATTTGAAATTCACTTTGAGACGCTGAAAGGGTTCGATAATGTTTGTACGATCTTGAAATTCTTTAGCATAGTTCGAGTAAATGAAACTTCTGTTTTGTGGACAGTGCTAACACGAAGAGATAAAAGAAATTGTCAGGCGAAAGCATTGCAAGACAATTTTTGTCAAATTAATTACGTGCGCACTTTTTCGAAGGATATCAGTTTTGAACGATTATATTATATAATCAGGCTACAGTAAACGTTTTCATAAATTGGCTGATTCATCGATCGAGTTGCAATTTTCTGTTGTACGTGCCCAGAATTAGGACTAAGCCGGCTACTGTTTGTTGAGAGCTAAATCCTGGTCTCTAATTCAACTCAGTTGCGGAAGCCGGTGTGCAAATTACAGCAAAATAGATTCAGCTTTTTGCTAAGGCTTTGATCCCTCTTTTAATCTGCTCTACATTCAATTCAGTCCCCGTACGGAAAAACAAATATTTGCTGGATTACTGAATACCGCCATCGCTTAAACCTGAACCTTACTGAGAAATGTTTGTTTAAAAGATTCTTAAAACTACTTGCCTTTTGGTTGATAAATCTTGAATAATTGTCCAAAAGCTCTTGACGAAATTGTCGAAATTTGAATGGCTAGCGAAAAAAAAAACAACAACTTAAGTCTGCACCTCCGGACTATGGAATTATATTTGCACTTTAAACAATATCGATGTCTCCGAAATGACGGCCCAAACATAGTTTTACACCAGCAAGGTTGACCATTTGCGATAAAAAGTTTATGTTTTAATTTCTCTCCCCCAATTGGTAAAAAATCAATCTCGTTAATTCTTCCATAGAAATTTGCCCGAAACATTAGCACCTTAAACATTCATGTCCTACCCAACTACGAAGCACTTCCATTACCTATAGCTACTGACGATTTCGCAATTCTTGAGTCTTAATATTTTTGTCCTTTACTGTGAGACATTTCTAGATCATTCCCGCTGGAAAAAGAATTATGCGGTTTTTAAAAGATAAGTTCAAAGTCGCCAGGCACGCACGATAATATGATGTCAACGAACTTAGACGCTCAAAAGCCGATATCTTTGCAGCAATGGAACTATTGTTCTGGACATTTTAAAGCTGCTATCCCAAACAAGATTTGCTTAACGAGTTAAATAAAGAAGGGACACTAATGTTGCTTTTCCACCACATGATATCGTCATACTGTTTCCCAGACTTTGACGAAATTTACGTAGGTCGGAAGCACTTAAAAATATTCCCGCAAAAGTTCGAGCCGTTCCCGCGAATCTAGTGCGTCCATTGTCGATTCCGAACACGCTAAATCCGGTGACAGCAAACCGGTTGAACTAATCTGGACGTACCGCTTACCAGTTAGAGGCTGGCAAAGGCTTTGCTATTAGACTCAGTTGCTGTTCTCTTAACAGGTTTAGTCCAATAGAAGTATATGATTTTTGTAGCATTGTTTGGGAGCACAAATCTGCCACCAGCGTTGAGGTTCCTAAAGCGTGCACATAAATTTATAAAGTTCTATAAACTACTGCAAGCCAGCGAGATATTATACACTAGTATATATGCACTTACCAAATCCCTCGGATGAACTTTAAAACCTGTGTCTAATCGACTTAACGACCAGATTTGTGAACTTGATTGTTTTAACTAGCTACTTTTTTCGTCCAGTGCGTGATTTGCCGGTCCATGTATCTGGCCACTGGCGTGCGACGAAAACTGTGCACCACGCTACTGAAAGTTTCCACAACTGAGAATTAGGCGACCGAATCTCTGCTTTACTCAACGAACAAAGACTAACTCCTGCCTTTTAAAATGTTCCTGCACGTGTCTTTCAGTGCATTTCCCTTACATGCAGCTTAAAACGCTTTTGTTCACAGCTTTTGTTATCAAGCAAGTCCATGACGTATTGTTTGCACAGTATTATCGAGTTGTCTTTGACATGGTAATCCTTATGTACCATGAAATCGTTGCGTCATGGTAACTTAACTTACACTCTAAAAAGATAGGCTTTTATTGTGCTAATATCTTTTTGTCACCAGTGCAACTAAAACCTTAAGATCGGAAGTGCAGATTTTGTTGTGACGAAAGTTAATTGCACAGTTCAGTTCAGTAACATAATATTCTTTACAAAATTGGGGAATTTTTCTACTTGTTTTTTTTACTTGTACTTGATTATAATTTACACAGATAATCTCAACCACTACTTCCTTATTCTAAACTTCCTTTTCTTTCTTGTTTTCAAACTTCCGTGTTTCAATCTTGCTTCGTAGGCTTTACGTGCTTGTAAATAAAGTATACTGAGGGAATTAGAACAACACAGAAAATATGGAAGTTTAATTAAATGTTAAAATTTAGCATTGATTACTGAGCATCAAAGCTAAGTTTATCGATGAAGTTGAATACATAGTTGGTTACACGCGACATGCAATATACCTGCCGAAATCAAAATGGACTGGTGGCGTCTGTTAGCCTCGCTAACAAGTTAAGTTTCGCGCGGAGGGCCATTAAAAAAATAATAATAATAAAACCCTTTTTTGACTTCTTACTCGATTTAACAAGCTTCAGCTGAAAAACAAACAAACAAACAAACAAAACAAAAAAACAAAAAATTTGTCATTCCAAGCAAATTCAAATATTTTCACTGGTGTAGGAAAGGGTAAAGACAGAAGGCACAAGTTTCATTTTTGCCTTTGTTCGTTTGTTGTAGACCTCATTCACAGCTTTTCTATTGTCACCAATCTCTCAGCATCCGCACTCCGTATTTGTATGCGTGTTGCGGTTAAGCAAGGTTGACAATGCCTAGAACACTTATAACGCGACAACGACATGAGAGAGTCCAAACTGAAAACCGAGATGCAACAGAAGACACCGGTTTTGACCTGGTTGGGTCTTGCCAGCATGCCGTAGCAGGAAAAAGTGGAGCAAACATGGGCCTACAATTTATTTTTTGGCTGATCAAATCTTTCACAGATCCTACGTATATAGCTCTAGTATTTTCGTAAATTTCCGGTCCCTTGCCGCAAGCATATGAACGGGGCTACACGGCGATTATGACCTTGATTCCTTGTCACACTCTAAAGGCTTTCATTCACAGTCTGAAACGTAGCGCGTTGCCAACCTCATTGGCTGACCCGAGTCAGTCAAAAGGAGTTTGGGGAGAAGGTCACTCGTCAAAAAGCAAACGCCTGGCCAAGTAGGCTACACTGAAAAGTTAGAATCACTTTCCACAGGCGCCTAGCCTAGCTTTCGGAAAAGCAAGACAAAGGTACTTTGGTACTTGTACCAAATCAAATATCAGTGATTGCATTACCATGGGTCATGATCAAATGGTGACCAGTGAAATTAGGAAATAATTTCAAGCGCGTTTTGTCAAAATTCTAATAAATTCCCGAGCCTTTAGGCAAGGGAAACTACTAGAATTTTGACAAAACGCAAGTCAAATTGTATTTCCTAATTTCACGAGTATACCATTTGATTACCTTCTAATATCATGGGTGACAAATTGAGCTTACAATCGTGGGTTTTTGACTGGTTTATAGTATCGAGAAATTTCGCGCCAAACGTTGCCATGCCAATTTCACATGTGAAATAAATTAACGCTGACATTTCGCGCCAAAATAAAGAAGTAATTTGTCAACCATGATAATTACAACGGAAAACTTTTCTTCTATATAAAAAAGTAATAAAACAAGATAAAAGAACACCGTTTTTTTAAATTAATGACTGGAAGCGGTTTTCATTTGAGTGGCGAAAATAATTCACACTTGCAATCGTTGTCCATAACTGCATGCGCAACGCGCTTGGCTAAAAACTGACTCGCCTATTGAGAAGTACGATAAAAACGCAAAACCATTCTTGACTAGCTCGCACATTTTCCCGCGCTTGGTGTCAGCCACATGTTTTAATGTTGCCTGGATATGTTAGAGTTTTGATAGGTTCACTGTATTGTCTGTGTCCTATTTGATTGGCTGGAACGTTTACTTTGGTTTTGCTTTTATTTGCTTTTACGATATTTAATTGAAAACCGCCCCACTTCTGAAAAGCTGAGAAAAGACTACTTGATTTACTAAGTATAACATGTGATGAATGTTGTGTGCAATAGTCAAGAATCTTCTTCAATAAAATACTTTACGCTAGAGATTTCTAGACCTTTGCGTTGATCTATACTAAACACAACATCATGAAAAATCCGATGAATGTTTCAGATATTGACACTACGTATTTCATTTTTCGACGTGTCAAATTGACAAATTATTGAAACTATCTATCTGTTCTAAATTAGTCGAAACAGTTACCTTCTCGAGACTCTCTCGATGTTTAATTTTGGTCTCAGTTACTTGCGGAAATTTCCGACATCGGCGACAATATTATCAAAATTTTTCAGAAAACTGCTTTAATTTAAAAGTCGGAATATGCTCACAGAAATAATTTTCTGTATCCATTTCGCCAACTTCCTTTTTTCTTTGATGACTGTCTCGTATTGACCAGTACCGCTGACATTCCTGATCGATTACAATTGACATGTACAGGTGAATTTGCACATTCGTCAGATTTTAATCAACTTTTCGAATTACTTTTACTTACCAGGTTTGCCATTTGCCAGTTTGATGATACCGCGCATATTTCGCCGACAAAATGAAAAAGAAAAGATGCCAACCTAATGTCACAGAAAATGCCGAAAAAGAGGAAAAAAGACTCCGCTTACACTGTCACAGTGAAAGCTCGCGCGAAATCTGAAGCTATTAATTTATCTCGAAATCAAATCGAGCAATTATAAAGTTGGTCTCAGCCTTTTGAGATAGAAGGGTTGATGGCATAAATATTTTTTTTTCGTGTATATACGTTTACATGAATAAATGTAATCTTGGATGTACTGAAAGACTGCTTGCAAGGCAGCTATATATTGGGTAATTAACCTTACGGAAATCATGGCGCTTTGTACATATCCTGAGATATGCCCAAACAACTCTATCTGAGCTTCTTTACGCAAGTCCTTCGCTTGGCTTATGCGCTAAATACAGCAATTTTTGAATGATTCCGGCACAGCCGAGTTATGTCAGTCCTGTATGCAAACAGCTGTCCTAAATCTTAGAATATTCAAGATCGCTACACGACCTTTATCGAATGTTCTTCGTATAAAACATGGAAGTGAGACAGCTGGCTTCAAAACAAAGCGTACTTTTAGCTTCTTACACGATGCCACTGCGTTTCAAACTCGACGATCTTGGAGGCGCAATGCGAAAATCCTGACCAACCCAAGTGCTGGTAGACTGCATGGAAATTCTCTCTGTGCTGTCTAAACCGTCTTCAGTGCCCACAGACCCTCGTCCAAGTGCGACAAAGCCAGAGCCACGGGCCTTGGCGGCAGTATCGACTTGATGCGAACTCTCACCGAAACAAAGCGTGCGCACTTTGCAGAAATACGACCTGAAGACGCAGCACACGGCTACGATGAGCATCACACCGAATATAACCACCACTGCGATGACGGGACTGCTGAGAACATCCTCTTCATCTGTCACAGGCTTTTCACAGATGGAGGAGATGGAAATGCATTTTCCCTTGCAGCAGTACTCCTCAACGCTGCCCGGGGAGCCACACTGTTCGTCTCGAGAGCAGGACAAGTTACATGACCTGCGACAGTACCCACTACAGCAGTGGATATAATCCCCGAGGCAATCTCTGTAGCTGTCGCATCGTCGGCTTTCGCCAGTTCGCAAAAATCCTAAGAAAATGATGGCTGAAAAGACGATGATACTAAATCTTGGTAGTCCGATGATTATTTTTACTGGGTCTCTTGGCAGTCTGTGATGAACACCGTTCCACAAAGCATAAAAATCCGCCATGAAGGTTTCTTTCGTCTTCTCGTCCGAAGAGACGGTTTCCGCTTATCCGGATTATTAATATTTCTCTGCTCTTCTGTTAACTTCACAATATTTGTCTCGATTATTTGTTGTTGCGGCCGAGGAATTGTATTTGAGTCACGTATCAAGCCGTAAAAAGCAAACTTACTTATAGTCAATTACTTCATTTCAAGGGAAATTCTATCTGAGCTTGACGTATCGAGTCCACGAAATCTTAGCTTGTCGACGAGGTGATGCAGCTGTGCTCAAGCAATTTGCACGCTTTCCATTTTAAACCTCTTTCATTCAAGGCCAGAAGTCGCTTACAGTATTGTCGCTTCGGGCGTTTCTAACCGGAAAAATAAATTGTCTGATTTGAATGAGAATGCAAGAGGAAACATGACGCAAAATTTATCTTATCTTATATCCCACTTAATACGCTTCTCGAATAATATTTGTGCGGTCCCTAATGTGGATTTTTATAAGTAAAAAGCTAGTACAAGGAAAGTTATAAAAAGATGTCCATAATCTTGATTTTGATGGATGTCTATTGTCAAGGCTAGGTAATAAAAGATTATTTGTTGTCATCGAGTATTCAATAATTGATTTTTACACGCAGGGCTTGAATATAAACTTTTACACAAGCTTTTTGCTAAATGTACAAACATACCATTCAAGCTTGCTAATGCAGTTCACCACAAGAAAACATATTTTTCTTTCACCTGTTAAAACAAGATACTCTTTGCGTGATTGAGTGGTTGTTATCAATTGGATACTGCTTTTTTCGGACTTATCAAGAGTGACAAGGGTATTTTGTCAAGTTATTTGAACGAGGCGATAGTAGCTAATGAATACGAACCCAGTTTAATGTTTGTCATTCAAACGAGAACCCATTTCAAGTTTGCCAGCCCAGCTGAGAGGTTCCCTCACTTTTGAGCAATAATACTTAAATTCAGTTAATACAATTATAATACAGTACTACTTTTGACTTTTTGTCGCAGGAATACTGACAGTTGTTTCTTACCCATTATTGCTAATCGCAGAAGCAGGAAAAAGTTCACTGAAATTGTCTGCGCTATTTTAACTGCTGGAAATTAAAGTTGCTTGAAATGCGACCGCGATAGCTCTGAAATTTGTTTGCTGTTGACAAATCAATTCGATTTGGTTGGAAATGTCTCTATAATTATATCAGCGTTTCTATTCGCGGACGAGTTAAATAATTAGTTTTGCTTTTCATATTTAAATCTTGTTTTCTCAACAAGCAATCCTGGGGCTACTTCGCCTCGCAATAGGTTATCGCTTTAAGGCAAATGGACTTTTGAAGTGGTTATTCAAAATAATGATAACCATATTCTCGGTTAATAGCACTTTTAAGTTCAAATCGATCTTTACTATCTTCATCGAACGTTAGACATTGGTGTGGAAAAAAGAATGCAGCCCTTGGTCTACTAAGTAATGGTGTTTTACGTATTCCTCTTAGCAAAGCAAGTCGTATACATTTGAATATTCCTTTGAGATATGATAGTTCACACAAAATTCTTAAAATCTGAGAGGGTCTTTCTACAAGAAGACTTAATTTTAATAAAAAGTAGAATATGGCTTAGGAGATCAAAAATCGTTATTAGCTGCTATCGTTATAAGAATCACACTCGTATTGCACATTCGTATTACTCTCAAGGTCATATAAATGTCATATTAAGCATATATATACATGCATGGTAAAATATAACTTATGTAGGGCGTTATTTTCTCTGGAAATATACTGACTGCGGTCTTCGATACCAGTTCAACCTCTAGCGACCGGGAAACCCCAGTCGAAAAAAAAAGATAATAACTGGCAACATTAAAATCAAAGTTTCTTTGATGGGTTGGTTATTTACCTACAGTTCTGTCCCGATAAAATAAGAATGAGAGTTTGCCTTCGCTGTCATAAATAAATTAAACTTAATGGCAAAGTACATCCGCAGATAAAGTGAGCTAACTACAGAGGCACTGTCAATGAGTTTCAAAATGATTTCAAGAAGATAGTGGCACCGTACAAAGCTAGATTACAGGAAGTCCATCAATAACTCGATGGCTTGATTTTGTTAGGGAATATTATATTGTATGTAATCGCAAAAAGTGATGACGGAAGCCATTAGGAAGTGATGGCGACTCATAATGACCAGAAGTCTGACAAAAGTGGAAATGGATGATAATTCGCAACTCAGTCACATTTGAAAAATCGAGAGTATGTTTTCTCAGTTCAATTTTCCGAGATTTCAGGTTTGAAATGTCGCACGCAAGAAAGAGCACATTTATGGATCAAAAGCCTCTATGGGAAACACTCAAAATGAAATACACATTCAGTAACTATTATTAGTGTTAACATAAGCGTCTCGCGCTGTCTCTCAGTTTGTTGAGCTTGCCTAAAGAAATTTCGATTTTTAAAGATTGATTCCGGTTATGATTTGTGAACGTGATTGCAAATCAAAATTGATGATGCTTTGTGATTTGTGGTATCCTCCCTCACGATAAAGGAAAGTTTGAATTCGAAGAAAGCTTAATGGGAATTCCGCCAAATTCATTGTCATTGTTTACTTAGCTGAGCAAAGTTACAATTTTTTTTTTTCAAACTTGGAGTCTATGACTTGAGACTTTATAAACTATATGCTGTCGTCATATTTTCAATTTTGCGATTTTCATATCAGATGAATGCCATATGCATTATCACCGCGCAACACCCAGATCACAACTTGGAAACATGAATTATGGCGTGGACGTACAAACAAGGCTGATCGGTAGTTTAAGCTATTTGTAGTATAGTCCTGGTCTACACTAATTCGGTTAACTGTTAGAAAACGTCTTTTTCCCTCCGGTTTTGCCTATTGCTCAAGCTAAAACGGCAATCTTCTTGTAAACAGTCAGGGGAGATTTCTAAAATACGAAAAGGGATCTTTTATGCTGACGTCACAAAGCCGGATTTATTGCGGGCTCGAGCAATGTGCGCATGCCCTAGCATGCATTTGTAATGTTCTGTGGCCGTTTTAATGTGAACCGAAAGCAGAACTGCATGAAGAAGAAAAGTTACATTCTTCAAATTTAACGGGATTAGTGTGGTCGAAACTGAACTTCGTATTGAACATTGAATTTATTCTCCGACCCGAGGGACTTGCTCTGCTGAGACGCAGAACATCATCTACTTGCGACCGATTTGAACTTTTAATAAAGCTATCTATCTACACGAGGAAGAAAGGACGTTTTTCATTTATAGTTTTCTGATCTTACTAGGCTGTCGATCGAGGTCATAGAGTAAGCGAGGTTTCAAAATAACTATATATTTTTGGAGTTATAACAGTTCAACTGCGTTACAATTGAGAACTTTTTTTGTTCATCATGCAATTTAATTTGAGTTCGTTTGCATCCCGATTTCAATACTCACGGATTTGGGTATTACCTAATTTTCCAGTTCAGGCAAGAAGGTCACTGCAACCGCACACCACCCCCTAAGTGCGAAGGTGACCAAACGCCTATGTCTGCTTCATAAGCACTGAAGCAATTCAGTTTCTGATTGCTAGGCTACAAAACTATCAATTCTAATGATGAATATCATTTCCACGACCACGTTTTCGCTACTAGCCGTGAAATTTCCAAAACAAATTTCCCTCAGGAGCCATCAGCTCGCTTTTGATTGTTTTATATGGAACAATGGAAACCAACGGGGGTATTAAACGTGGCAAAATGCAGATGAGTCGACACGTAAAACTCTCCCTTAATGCATAGTATTTCAAGCAAACTAGAATATTAGCAACTTTAAAATATTTATCTAGACTTTCATTTATTGTTATTTTGCATACAACTTTGGTTAAACGCTCCGCCCCCACTCCCTGCTAAAATATTGCTCATATTTTAGCAGTTTACCAACCAAAACAACAGGCGGAACTGAATTAGAATCGGCTATCAACAACTGACTTGCGTCTCTGTAGAGCATATACGGTTAAAAGGAGTTAACTGCTGGCAGCAATGAAAACTGTAGAACCATCTTGCATAATAGCAGTAATGGATTTTTATCGCAATAAAGCTATAAAATTTTCCCGTTCACGCCGTTACAAGAAAATGGAAGCGGCATTTTTTAAAGTATTTATGAACAGGGCTTTGGAACAGGCTGCCATGTCGAGTTTCATGATCAGATATTAGGCTGAAGATTTCGAATTTGACAAAAGAAACAACTGAACACTAGATTAGATACATGACTCGTTTACTCACTAAATAATTAGAGAAAACCTAATCCCGACAATGGAAAATATGTAAAAACTATTCTAATTTCATTTTCGCACACGTACCTCTCTATGTATTGTGGCTGGTTTTTTCAGAGGAAACTCTTTTGTGACATCTGTCCTCGTTGTCCTTGAATTGACTGGATACTTTGAAAAAGACTCTACTTCTCTTATCAAGGACTACAACAAGCCAGTACGTCTTTGCGCAAAAACCCTCAGGCTAAGCACCATGTTGTTGGCGAAAAAATCCCTGCCGATCTTTCCCTGACTTCGTGTGTCGTCGACACGTAAGTTCAAACTCTGCCAAGCAAGCGTCAAAATAAACGCCTTGAACAATAAAATTACACGGTTTTAAATCGGCATCCTAGGCAACGAAATAGCTCTTGGTAGAATGAGAATAATATTTTGTACAGTTCTTTGAAAGCCTCGTGTCATGTTTCAGGAGACGTTTGCGCAGCAACTGAATTAATTTCTACTAAGGTGCATGTAATCACCGGAAGTAGCGGAACTCTTATAAGCCATTATATAAAGAGAGCTATCTAGAAAACATGGACGATCAATGTGAAAAATATGGAGCGTCGATTCGCCTGCCGTTAGATCAGATTTTTGATGCCAGTCCTGTAGTCATGACAGCAAAGTGAAGGGATGGTTTCACGGTACGACGCATGTGCAAGCAACATAGCGTGAGCATAAAGTATCTTTCTTGCTTTCTTGATGACCACACGCTGGTATGAGTGGCACGTAAACAAGCCAATCTGTCAGAATTTATCTGGGACCGTCATGGACAAGGAGCCAACAAAAAAAGCATTTCTACAAACGTTATTCCAGTTGTTCGCAGTTCCTTGTCGATAATATTCCTGCTCCTTAGCATGGTTCGTTCAAAAAACTCGAGGTATTGAATGATAACATGATCTATGCAGTCAGATATAACAAATTACTGTAAAATCAATGTTATGTCAGCCTGGAGTGATTTGACCAGCATTGTTTCAACACGCCAGACAGTTTTCTCAAATACAAGATGTTAACATCCATTTTAACTGTAGTCTCCCTCAAATAACAATTCTTAATGGCTTTGAGTTGAACATAAATTGAAGTATTTTAGTGCTAAATTTGCAAAAGAGACCTTTAGGAAGAAACGACAGAGTAGCTTGTGAAAGCAGATGTTTTTCTAAAGGTTATTTCAAACCCACGCTTAAGCTAACATGGCAGACTAAGGCCGCTTTGCTTTCAGCGTTCATTGAAGAAAACTGCAATCACTACTTTATTCAGAGCGATGACCTATGGCTTCCATATTTGTGTAAGAAGGTATGTAACAACATTTTATTGTCGCACGTGTTAGTGGAACTTGCCCTCTCATGTGCCGAAATGTTTTCGCAGCTTCTTAAACAGATTCATTCTAGGAGAGTTCTTTGGTCAACAACTCAAGAAAATCCTAATGTCCTCCGTTTGTAAAATTCCCTCACTCGGCGGATTTGGTTTCATACACTTTCTAACCGAGATATACTGTGCATGACAATGTACGTATTTGGTTTGTGCCTCGGTTAGTCAAACAAAGCTACTTCTCTGGCGACTTACGGAAATTTGAGAAACGAAACGAAACAAAATGAACATCTGTAATTTGCGAAACTGCAAGATAAAGTGTTGTTTCTTAATTAGTGGTGTTTAATTAGAGTCCTGACTGGGAATTTCTTGTTTCGATTTCTGTAATCTGGCTAAAACGTTTTCAAACGTTTCCGGAGAATTGAACGAATGAATCTTTTGTTTTATCATTTATTAAACACACTTGCAAAATCAGAACTCTTATTTATTCGGTCAATGCTGAGAAAATGTTTCAGCCCAAGCGAATACCTTCTGTCGAAAATTCCAGACATGATAATGCCATCCACCTCGGATGCTATGGACGCTTCGGCATTCAGAACGCCTTCAAATGCACTGTTAACAAAATACTTTACTTACCTGCAACGAGTTTAGCTCCACTTTGAAGATTTACCAATAATTAATTTCCAACCACACCAGAATTACGTACATCGAATATATGTGCCCAAACACCTCTCTGATCGGTTGCGCCAAGTACTAGTGTGTGTACACTGAACTGTAAACCTTATCACTTTATTTGATTCTTGCTTTGCTGAGTCGATTTGTTTACCTTAAATATTTGATCAGTAAACGCAGGGCGGCAAAAAGTGTATCTAAAAGATCGCACTTTGTTATTTTTGAGATCTCTTAAAGCTAGTGTATAATATCGGCTTCACCTCCTACGGCAAGTTTCGTTTCATCTGTCAGATGGTGAATAGCTATTTCCGTGGGTGTTTCTAGATTTTTGATAAATAAACAACGTTCTCACGCAAAGTTGTTAAAAGACTTCTTGTTATATCCTAGGTAGTCCGTAGGCACGTACGTGGTTTGCAATGCAAAGAATGTTTTCGTCTCAGAGAAGCTATTTTCAATGACATCAGCATTTGACCCGCAAAAAAAAAATCAACATAGACTGTTGGAATTTCAGAGCTCATATATCAGCATCAAGATACTCAGGTACGTGTTGACTGTATGCCTAGATCATTTAAAATGTTCATCAAATGAAATGAAGGGCTCCCCCCTGGGTGTGTCTACTGGGCTCTGACAACGCCTGCTACGTATGATACCTAGTGACAAGTATTTTAAGCTACCGGCGCCGGCAGCCGTGTTTATTTTTGATTCTTTCAGTAAAAGGCCCGAAACGTTGCCTTTTGAAACTAGTTTGAAACTATTTAACCAGGGAGAGTCTTCGACAATCAAACAATAAATTATGAGGGAGGAAATGAGGTGAGATAACATTCTTACTATCTGCTGAGAAATGACGCAGTTTGAACTGACGTGTAAAATTTGCTGATAGTCCATGGACGGACTGAAATTTGAACTGATAGCTGAAAAACTGTCGAAAATTTATCTGAAAATTGAGATTACAGTACCTGGATCCAGACCCTCTGTTATGTCTTTTCTGACAATTCAAGAATTATATTCTTTTGTGTAATATCCTTTACCCTCTCACTCCCAGGGGTGAAAGATGCTATGAACTGGCATTCAAGCCTGCCGTTTCTGACCATCGCATAAGCATAATGCACAAGCACAAGCAACACACCCTCTGATGTGCCAAAATCTTAGCAAATTGCTGTCATGTAATGTCTTTTGTTGGAACATTCTTTTTTTTTGACAACAGTCGCTAATTATTCACATCTTACTCAGTCTGCATATGTTGCTTATGCTTATGCGCTCAAACAAACAAGAGCCAAAAAACCGGGGAGGTACTCCTAGAAAAATCGGGTGGGGGTGTGCGGCCCGCTTCCCAAAACCT